AGGTGATGGAATAGCCGTAAAATGTCTCAGGGTTCTCCTTTGCTCGCTGTAATTTATTCGTTTTTCATTTCTAATTACAAGTTTGACAGGCAGAAAGAAGCCCTGGGTACAGGCATGCTTTTTGGTCTAACGTTCGCAACCATTGCTATGTGTTATTATGAAATGCTCTGGCTTTGATCCTTTTCGGATGCATTCTCTCCGTTCTTTTTAGGTACGAATGATGACGATTGCTTTCTTCTTTTTAAGAACAGATATCACGCTGCTTTATTCTTTGATCTTTTAACAGCAAGCATCCAAACATCGGATTTACGACAGAGGGAGAATCAGATGGCCAAATTTCCATGTTGGACGATCTCGTCCTCATGTAAGGTGGTCGTCTTCGCTCTTCGGTGTAAAGGAAGCCTACGTGCACCGGGCTGGACACGAGGTTTTTCGGATTTTTTTCCAGAATCCCTCGAAGCTAGGACCATATGGACGGCCGTCTTTGGAGCATGCCGTCTCAGCTCTACTTGTCACTCCTTTCATGCTGAAATGAAATGTTTTTAGAGGCATTCACGGGGCAATGGTTTCCCTTAGGGTTCATCCACTTATTGATTAGGAGGTTCCTTGATTCTCCATATCTTTCTTAGTCCAGGCCTTTGAACGCTCCGAAACTAAAAAAAACAAAAACAAAAAAACATTTTGCTCTACCGTGCTTTGACCTAAACTCTGAAAGCTTCAAAAGTGAGTTGATCAGCGTCCTATCAAAATTCGATCTATTTTTAGACCCTAGGATTATTTTGGTTAATCCCCTCTCAGAGGTTCTTTCTTCAAGCATAAGCATTGACTGCCTAAATGCTGCCAGTCGACTGTTGTATTCGAGTTTTGTTGTAGTTCTTGTGAGGCATCTCACGTAGGTTCCACACTTTGGAGCCTACACAGTCGCATACTGCAGCACTGTTATGGTATCAGCAACAGCATCGCAATGGTAAATCAATCCGGATGAGAAGTTTTTTGTTTTGCAAATCTGGCTTCTCGCTCATACGATAACATCCTTCTCCATGTGGCACTCCAGTCTTGACTTCCAATTTAATAAATCAGGCAGGGCATGTGCTGCGCTTAATTTAAGAACCTTAGAGCCTTTACAATTTTTAGAAAACGTCCAGCACTAAATTACACGACTTCGTCACATCAATTGCAACTTGTGATTAAGCGAAATATGTCTGCAGATTTGGCCCTGGTCTGGTCTACATTGCGCGCGACTGTGTGATATTTTCATTACGTCTGTGTCGTTTGCGAGTGTTAACCATCATGGCATACGCTGTACCAGCGTGTTTCTTGCCTGACGATGCAGCCGTTGTTAGCTGTGAAACGCGTCACGAGTTAATATAACAAGCATACGAGCACACGCTCGTCTGGGGGTGGGGGTGGGGGTGGGTCAGTTTGATCCCCCGAAGGCTTTCCCAGAATGGTTTCCAGACGACGCGGCGTAGCCGCACCAAATTTTGCACAGCTGTAGACAGTTTAACAGCGGATCGTCTGGCCTCACAATTTAGATGTACCTTGTAAAGTTGCTGGTCTATGGCAGGTCAAAGTCAAGCCACGGTTTCAGCAAATGCAATTTCTAGGGAATCACTCAGTCTGTTCCAACAACGGAGTGTTAGACGAAGCTAAACCTTTCTGAGATACTTTCTTACGCAACACAACACTTCAATGACAAAATTAAATTGAACTAGGGTCATGTATGATGGTCAAATCAAGGTCAAAACCAACCTATTTTAATACTCTAGGGGTTAGTGTATGAAGTAGCTTTTAGTGCTCATTTTGGATTTATTGATAACAAGAACCGCATTATACACCTTCCATGTACCTTTTAAATGTCAGAATAGGTTACTGACCTGAAGCAACCCCTGTAAGCATTTTGTTTTTAGGAACATACTGCCTAGCGCGATCTTTGTTGCTTATTCAAATGCAAAGCTCAAAGCAGTCTTATATGATTTTGCTCTCCATGACCTTCAAAAGGTCAAACAAGGTCGCTTACCTTAAATGAGCATGTGATCCTTTGCTTAGTAGGTTCTAGAGGCTCCCTGGAGTCTAGCCTGGAATTGAACCTTTTTGACCTTATTTACCCCGAAGTTCACATCCCAGTAACCTGAAACTTTGACCTAAGTGAGTTCACGTACAGTCCAACACACCCTCTGAATGTGGTGTCTCGAGGTCCCTTGGTTCCTGAGATCTCAGGGGGGGGGGGGAGCAAATTGATCCCCCCACCCGAGCGAAGAGTATACGACCGGCCACCCGGGCGCGTGTTAAAAATGTATGTAGTCTCTAAAATTACCAAATCAAGCGGTGAGTGTCCAACAAGCGACATGTCCTGTCCAAGATACTCAAATTGGAGGCAAAAACTGGGATGTTACATACAAATGAATGATTTCGTATTAAGGAGTCAGGATTTGCAAGAAATCTTTCCGTCCGGGTAGATTTACCCGAATGTTACTGAATGCGACGGTGCGCATTCCAAAGGGCGGATTCTGGGTAGGATGTTCGACACTACGCACAACAAAACTCGTATACAACGGTCGCTTGGCGGTATTTGGGTAGTCATCCTTAAGTTTGAAGAAGGAACCTACGGAGAATGGTTCACCAGAACGATCCTGAGATCTAAAAAATGGATAGAATTTTAATAGGAGGCTGACCAACTCACGTTTGAGGCTTTCGGGGTCTGAGTCAAAGTACCGCAAAACAAAATACTCTTTGAGTTACGTAGCATCAAAGGGCCTTAGCAAGGAAAGATGCCAGGAATTGAGGAACCTACGAATAAATACACCTATGATAATCGAGTAGAAGCCGTTGTTCCAGAAATACGTTTTTAAATACCCAAACGGTATAGAAACAGTGGATGGCTTTACACCGAAATCAGCGCTGCCACCACGCACAGCTATGTTCCTAGACGGCTGCGGTATTGGCGTGGTTATCAACGCAAAACTAGACGTGGTCCGTACATACATACATGCATACACACATGCATACATACATGCATACATACATGCACAGACACACACACACACACACACACACACACACACACACACGCACACACACATATATATATATATATATATATATATATATATATATATATTCTACAAGTTTTGCTATACGCAAAGGTACATATACAGTTCATTGGCTTCTTGTGCGATTATTCAATTGCTCGAATTGAATCCTTCGTTGTTTTCGGCAAGTCACAAATCAACTCGCCTATCGTCACATGACTTGCCGTCATTGCGTCACACAGAAATGCGTGACTCAACTTGTCTGTTTAAGTCATGCATTCTGTCTCTGATGAGGATAACTTCAAGAGCTTGCAGACTTCTTTTGTTCATGATTTTAGAATCAGTGTGTTTTCAGTCAAGTCACGGCGTAGGAGTTTTTGGATGCGGGTTTTGCGCATGTGTTGGTCTGACGCTCCCTCCTGCGGGTGCAGTCATGCGTCGTGGTAGGGATGTTATGGTCATTTCAATACAGGTAGAGTTGCGCAGCGGGCAGTCTCCGTAAGGATATCTAATACATACACTGTATTGTTGCGCTTTAGCTGGTTTTGGTTCGCTGTCAAGTTGTTTTTCATCATAAGGCTGATAGTTGTTCTGCTCTGATAATGCGTGGCCAGTATTATTTCAGTGTTTTCGTGAGTCGGTGTGATATTTATCTAGATGATGTTCCGTAAAACTTTTTCATCCACCTTATATGCCGGGAAAATTGGATTTCGATAAAAAGTTGATGAATTCGTTCCTTGTCGAATGGTTTTTGGTTTCCTCGATTCAAGGTGGACTCAATCTCTTCGCCAATTGCTCTGCCATTATTAACGAGTAATTGCTTACATCGTTCAAGTTCGTGGTGCGTGGTGGACCAGTTGGAGCAATATTTTAGGGCACGTCGTATTAACGAACGGATGACGGCCGGGCGGTAATGCTCCGGGCATTTGCTATCCGTGTTCATACATTTTCCAGCATCGGTGGGTTTACGGTGCACTTTTGTGACCAAAGATCCGTTGCTCGCATCCAAATCGATGTCAAGAAAAGGTAAATGAATGTCGACACTCAGATCAGTTGCAAATCGTGATAACGATTGCCGCTGCATGCTGGCCTGCAGTTGATGGAGGTGGGCCTGGTCTCTGATGTCAACAAATGTGTCAACATATCTACAGCGTAAATACGGCTAATGGTTCAGGTTTTTGAAGACATAATTCTCCAGCCAGCACGTGCACATAGTTGCAAACGGGCATGCGAGCAGTGATTCTATTGCGACACCATCTACTTGGCAGTAGAGCAATGACAATGGCAAATGACCCAACCCACCCCGACAGTGCCAAAAAAAGTTTTTCTCCCCAGTTTTGGCCCACTTTTGGCCTAAAGATGGAGGGCTGGAACCTGGGGAATGAGGCTGGCCAATTGAAAAGGAAGCTACACTCCAGCCTTACGGTACTAATAAAGCGCTCTGTAAACGTGATGCAAGCGGCTCAACAAACCCCTTCAAATTCGACATGCAGTGTAAGGCTCGACTTCGCATGCATCCATTGCCGTCCGTCCTCAGCGCTGCCGTAGCATCTGCGCCTGAGGGGGGGGGGGACTGGGGCGCCGAAAAAAACTGGTGATCCGCATCTGTCCAGGCGAACATCGTACATGTCGCCTTCGAACAGCGGCATGTTACAATGCGGCGAACTTCGATCGAAGATGTGGCTGCTGTCCCGTCAGTCGCGCCTGATCTAGTCTCCCGACCTCCCACCTCTGCACAGTTCAACGCCGGAAGTTCCAGACCTCCAGCGCACAATTTCGCCACGGTAGCGGCGCGACCGGACCTCTGGTTTTGGCGCGCTGCAGCGCACGAGACAGGTACCGGCTCGCAACGCGCGTCCCGACGCCACCGGCAGCGCGCCTCCTGATTGGCTGGCGGCCCGACCACGTGACATCGGGCGAGTTTCCGCCACCTAGAACCGTCTGACTGCGCTCGGACGCAGTCGGGAGGGGCCGGCGGGAGAGGGCGTGGTGCGGGGCGCGCGAGCCGGGGTCTCGTGCGCGCCTCGCAGTTCATGCGGCGTGCTGTGACGATTGGGGCGGCTGTTTGGCGTATGGCACTGGCGATTTGGAGAGCGCCTGATATCGCCGCTGCTTAGGAACACAAATGTAAGTGGTAACAGCACCGACCTCGGTGCCGGTGTAGCGGTGTGCGTCGCTCTAATCCTTGATATAAGCGACGGCTCGGCGGTTCGTTGGGGGTCTTTCTACGTACAGATCGCGGTCTGCGACGGTCACGGGTCACTCCAGCTCGTGATCCTCTGCCGCATTCGTGCATCTGTGTCGTGTATGTAGTGTTGCGATACGCAGTCGCAGTGGGAGCGGTCATCGGGGCGGTCAAGGTCTTTGGACAAAAGGTTATATTGTCTGTTGCGCTTTCCCACGATTATACGCCCTGGCTAATAGCAGTACGGTACAAAACGGAGGGGAGCTACATGGTGACTGCGTCGCCTGACGTGTTTTCTCGCCGCTTGCAGTTGGGGGAAATCGTTCGCACCCACTTACCAGACAACCGTATTCAGTGCCGGGTGGACAGACTTCGAGGATCAAAATGTGCGCGCTCCACTGCCCTGCGGTCTAAAACGTACCACTTAAGTCCACACGGCCGCTCCCGTTGGGGAAGCGGGCACCCCTCTCCCACCTGCCGCCCCCCCCCCCCACGTCGCGCCGTCGCGGGTGGAGGGGGGGGGGGGGGGGGGGTAAAACCGCACCGTGACGCTTACGGCGCGGCGGGCCGGGGGCGTTGGCCCCTACCTGTGTGACGGGACGCGTGACACCGGCGCCGTCTCGCGCTACACTGGCTGACGGCCGACCCGACGGTGATCCATTGGGCCACGCCGCGGGCGGCAGAAGCGGAGGATGGTCCGCCGTGGAGGAGCCGCCTCAAGCCTCCGGGCATCGCTGGCCCGGTCCCAGTACAGCGGCGCTGAATCAGCCCCGCCGTTACTGCGGCGGGCGGATCCAAGTTGACGGCTGTTTGAACCCATGCCCTGCGGTTGCCGCCGCAGTTTGCTCACAGCTGTACGCGACCACACCCTGGGCTTGAGCGGCGTGTTCACTCTCAGAGCGGGTGGCGGTCTGGTTTCTCAGCTCCTCACCCCGTTCAGCTGGGCGTGCACGCCCACTTTCCCGCCACTGTGCCGGCCCACGTCGCTTGCGGCGCCGGCACTTTCGCCCGCGCTTCTTCCCGCGAGGTCGCCCCCCCCCCTCCCGTCATTGGGCCCTGCCTGTCAGGCGTGCCCCCCCCCCCCCCGCCATCTTCCCCGGGTCTCGGGTGACCCCTGGCGACCTCTGCAGGGGGCGGGGAAGGCAGGTGGTGGGGCCGAACGCCGTGCCGTCGGCCGGTGTTCGGTCGGGGCTCGGCCCCGCTGAACCAACGATGTGCTGTTTGGGTTGGCAATGGGCGCTCGGTGGTGGGTGTGATTGCAGCGAGGTTCTTGTCGATAGTGATGCCGCCGCTGCAGCAGGTCTTGCCGGCCGCCTCCATCGTGGTCTCCCTCACAAACACAACACACACTATTTGTTGACATGTAATAAATGGGGTTTATTAATGCGGCTGAGTGGTCGGCTCATTCTCGCCGTTGTTCACGTTGACTTGTGTTCCAAGACTGACGTCAGGTGACTAACGTGGCAACATGCCCTGGTTCAGAATGTGTGCCTGGATGGGCCCACGGTCACGCAGTGTCTTATCACGGGACGAAGGCAACAGTAATCGCACACACGCCCGGCCGTGGGGCGCCGCGAGCGCCGCGCCCCTCTTATTTGTGACGGGCGGGCCGGCGGTTCCCGTGTCCGCTAAAACTCCGGCGGTTTTTGCCGTCGTTTCGGCGATCCGTGGGCGGAGCAGATGCACTGCGACAGGCCAGGGCTGCAATGCTGCTTCAACACGGTAATGTTCGGGTTCCGGCGAGCCGTTGGTGCAACAGGTGTACGGGGACAGGCTAGGGTTGATCGATCCGTTGGTGCAACAGGTGTACCTTGGCAGACGAGGGTTGTAATGGTGCTTCGACACCGGAATGGTGCGGACTAACTGTAACGTGGTGATACACTTAGAAAGTGTCGGGACATTTACCGGGTTACAGGTTGTTTTGATAAAGATGGTAAGCAGGATATAATTAAGACCCTACCAGAGAAAGATTGAACGGGATGAGAAAGACGTTCCTGGATGCAGGTGGTACATGATAAAAGTCGTGCGTAATAAAGGTACTTCATGATGCCGTTTTTCATGATAAAGGGCAGAAGCGCAGTTTGGCGGAAGGATTGTGGCGGGGGAGGGGGGGGGGGGGGGGGAGGGGACGGGGCTGAACGTTGGGAAATACCTCGACCTACCACCGACATACGCCAACAAACGGGTTTCTCTTGGGATTTGGCCACCCTTCTCAAAGTTGGGCTAAAGCAGTTTGTGCGGGTCTTGCGGATAATGGCTATGTGGACGCATTAGTATTTCAGTTAGGACTTGAAACTTAACTGTTGTCGCAGGCGGCACTGGTGGGAATGCACCAATAGCGAAGCTTCGGACGTGGTCATTAGGCACCGCATTGTTGACTTCTCAATGCGGATAGAGACCGTACTGGCCGGGTAATACCCACAAAGTCCGCCCATTAATGGTCCGTAATCCAAGATCGATGGCTTCTCGTGCGCAGTTTCACAGAATCGGTGCGGAACAAGGCCCTCGCATTTGGCTACGGGGTACACAATTAAATGGTGGGAAGGGTACGATCATTGGCAATCTGATGTGCATCAGCAAGAAGTGCCGCCGCCACCGCCACCGTTTTTAGGACTCGCGCCTTTCATGGCTCGGTACGTTTCTTGCCTCCATTCCGCCATCCCTCTCCCTTTTTTTTGGCGGGGGACTTTATTTCAGCATGTAATTGCACTTGTAACTGATGGTCTTTACCCAGTAGAACTTCCTTGCGAACGTTGCGCATGATCTTTCGCTCACCGTCCGGTGCGATATATATATATATATATATATATATATATATATATATATATATAGCGATATAGCCATGCATGTACGTACATTTATTCATACATAGCGATGTAATTTGTATATTGCAATATCCCTGTCTTTGACGATCTTTCTCCCAACTATCTAACCCACTCAACCTGTTGCGTTCAATCGCTTGTATACGATATCATTTGATTTTTCGCAGTTTGATATTTACAAGCGGGTGGCAAATAGAGTGATACGGTAAACATGGAAGAGATGCGGTAAATTACTACGTGTTGCGTCTGTGGCTCCAAAATGAATTTTGAGTGCCGGCAATCCCGGTAACGAGGTCGGTCAGTTCCGGACGGGCGTGGCGTCTCGCAGACGTGACGTCTCTTGCTCTGGCACGTGATGAGATCCTGCATGCTGGCTCCTGGTCAAACCAACAGTCCGCCCACGATTTCATTCTGGCATTTCGGATGTGACCCGCGCCGCCCAGAAAGCCGTCTCGTTCGGATTCAAACATCCGCTGTCCGATGCAAACAGACGGAGTTTCCGGTAGTGTCGCTGTTGACAGGCTGGGATGTGGTCGGGGACGTGTCAATGGATGCTGCTCCCATCCACTTCGGATGTCGTGTCTGGCATCATTCCTTATAACGATTGGGCGTCGTTCTCTGTCGATCGAGGATGTTGCTTCCAGTCTTCTGCGTGCCACGCGATAAATACACGTCGACGCCATCTTCAAGCGCAGGACTGCGTCCAGTCCAGTTTAGTCTGTTCAGTTGGATTCAGCCTGCGTCGATCGCGATCGGTTGAGCATCACACGTGATCATGTAAGGTTGGTTTAGTCTTGCTTGGTTCAAATGCGGATCGCTGGCTTCACCGGTCTGGTGCGGTTCAGCATCACAGCAGTTGTCATTTGATTTGAGTTTTGTTCGGCTCAGTTCAGTTCCGTTCGCGGTAGGGAACACGCCCGTCTGCATTGGGCGCTTCCAGCGGTCACTGGGACAAATGACCAGTGCACTGCCCCGTCCCCGCGTCTGTTGGAGAGCTCAACTGAACCAGACGCCAGCCGGGACAGCCCCTGGCCGCCCGAACACATGGCGACAGGCCGGCCACTTCGGGGCGGGACTGAACCAGACACCAGCCGGGACAGCCCCTGGCCCGAACACATGGCGACAGGCCAGTCACCTCGGGGCGGAACTGAACCAGACACCAGCCGGGACAGCCCTGGCCCGAACACATGGCGACAGGCCGGCCACTTCGGGGCGGGACTGAACCAGACACCAGCCGGGACAGCCCCTGGCCCGAACACATGGCGACAGGCCGGCCACTTCGGGGCGGAACTGAACCAGACACCAGCCGGGACAGCCCCTGGCCCGAACACATGGCGACAGGCCGGCCACCTCGGGGCGGGACTAAACCAGACGCCAGCAGGCAGGGGCCGAGAGAGGAGAAAGCAGTCATCTCGCAGGAAAAAAAGAAAAATTAGTAGATAATTACTGACATTCTAGTGCTCTTACACATTATCTTTAGCAAGAAGGCCGCACTCTCATTGCAAGACAGTTTTTCAATGCAGAACCATCTGGTTGTATCGCTGACTGCGAAATGGAGCTGCGCACAAGTAGCGAATCATTTCCCGCGAGTGATAATATGCTGCGATCGATTTCGTGGTGTTTGCATCTGATGCATAGTGCAGACGTTTGACGTTCGCGTTGAATGCAAACACACCAGCTCCCTTCAGATCTCTCCGTCTGGAGCGAGAGAGCGAGGGTCTGCGCAGTAATGGCTCCGCAGCGACGCGTCCCCGTGTCCCCTCTGCGCCACTGACCCGCGCCTCTTGTTTCCAGAGGTCCGGCCTCACCTGACCGCCATGGCGGACGCGGTGTACCCGGGCAGTCTGTTCTTTTCCGGACTGGCGGCGTGGGCCGGCATGCCAGTGGATCAGGTAGGTGCGGTGTCCCGGCCGCCGCGGACCCCACGGTTCACTCCGAGACGGGACGGTGTCCCGGCCGCCGCAGGCCCCCGGCTCACTCTGCGACGGGACGGTGTCCCGGCCACCCGCAGGCCCCCGACCACTCTGCGACGGGACGGTGTCCCGGCCCGCCGCAGGCCCCGGGCCCAACTCTGCGACGGGGCGGTGTCCCTGCCGCCGCAGGCCCCGCCCACTCTGCGACGGGACGGCGACACACAGCCGTGATGCTTCGCGTCTTCTTGGGGGGGGGGGGGAGGGGGGGGGGGGAGGATCGACCGCCGGGGGGATGGTGTTCCTGCCCTGGGGGGGGGGGGGGGGACCGGTTTACAAGTGGTGGAGAGCTGTCATGTGTCATGTCATTGGGGCTTTACGACGCACTCAGCTGCTGAGGCTATATGGCGTCGCCTGCCTCTCACCCTGGCAGAAGGGGTGGGCACCGCGGGGAATCGAACCCCGTACCTCTCGTTTCCCAGACGCGCAGTGGTTAACGCAGACGCCTTAATCATTACACTACCGGTACTCCACAAGTGGTGGAGAGCAACTGTGTGACCAGTTATAAGAAAGCTTCGGATGAACATGTCAAATCTGAAGTAAGCGTCTCCAAGACGTGATGAATTGTCAAAAGATAGTCGGCAATTTGGGGACTAATCTGCAATATTGAATAGGCGTGAGTCTCGACTCATGGAGCCTAAATCTCAAATAACTGCAAATCTTAATAAAGTTCGCGTTTGGAACCGATGTGGGTTTCGAGATTGTCTTAATCCCGAATGCGTCTGAGCCACGAATAAGCCCCGATTAATTAAAAATAAGTCTGAGCCCTGGTTGAACATTCATCTCAAATAAGTTGTAGTGCTGGATGAGTCCGAGCGTCAATCTGGTGCCCAAATACTCCCCCGAGCCGCGACTAGGTCCAAGTTTCCAAAAAACTCGGCGGTGGCGGTCTCATTTTTTCAGAGCTATGCATGTTGAGTTAGTAGTGAGCTTGAATACGGATGCTTTTGGTAAAGCCTGGGCCTCGAATAAGCTACAGTCTCGCAAGTCGGGAGTCTGGGGTCCACTTCTTCAGTAGTTCTTAGTCCTGGTACACCTTGGTCCCTTAGCCCCAAGTACGCAACAGGAACTCTAACACCAGTTCTGAATAAAGTAAAGTCTTGAATGCTGACGGTTCGGAATATGCCTGAGCGCAGAATAAGTGAGGGTCTTGGGGAGCATGATGTTTCTGTGTTCGCAAGTTTAGTTTGTTTAGTCCCATCTAACCACGTTTTTTTAGATGAGTAAAAACAATGCTGTTGGACAGTCAATGATAACAGGAGTCACGACACGTGTAATGTGCCTGAGATCCCTCTGATTACGCAAGGAACATCTGCAGTATATCTAAATCTGTGACAGCGCGTGTTGTATTTAAAACGCAGTGCTCCAGCCCAAGTGTACAGCTTGATTTATCACTCAAAATTCTGCTCTGGTAGACGTGGTGTGGGACCACAAGTCAGTGAATGGGAAAGACAATAGGTTGTGAAGTAATTACCTTGATATAAGAAGTGTTTGATGAAAGGTTACGACCCAAACAATGCCATTTTTACAGGCCACTGTCTTAGGCAAAGCCCCAGTTTGGTAAAAGTGGAGGGCGTCTCCACATATTTTCCGCAGGCGGTGGTTTGACGAACGCTGACCACGCCACGAGTCGGATGTGGTGGTCCCCAAAACATTCAGTGACTACGAAACATGCGCCGTACGAAAAGATCATTATATACGTTGATAACGTCCCATCTCTTGATGTCGACTTACCACTGAACATCCTTGAGCTCAAAAGAAGTGTAGGAAAAATTGGTGGTAGGAAGTGACTGGTAGCAAGTGACTGACAAACGAGTGTGAAAACCCTGACAAACGAGTCCGAAAACCCTGATAAACGAGTCTGAAAACCCCTCCAGCAGTCTGACAACCCTGAAAAACGAGTCTGAAAACCCCTCAAGAAATGAATTGTCCTAATTTGATCCTGCCGGCTAAAATCCGACCGTTGAAATCAAATCAAGCCGAAATGCAATGAAATGAAGCCCTCACAGATCGTCAAGATTCTGGGTGTCACCATCAATTCGTCCTTCCATGGGAAGGGCACATCTCCATCATCGTACGTCGCTGCTACGACATCACTGGACTCACTAGGATACGACATCGTCTTCTTAAAGAAACTAAACTCCTGATCCGGGCACTTGTATTTCCCATGTGCGATACTGTTTGTCGGTTGGGGGAGCTGTAACGTGACTCAGATGCGACGAGTTCAAATGGTTTTGAACGTTGACGCCCGAATCACATGAAATACCACGAACCGTGGCCGAGTGACACTCGCGCCGCGCGAAATAAGGTGGCGCAAAATTGACGACCTTATGCGTGTACGCGATATTGCAGTCACGCGTAATATCTTCCTTTGGTTAATTTTAAAATATAACAAGTTAAAAATAGACATTTTATGCATTTTTTTTATTTATTCTTTTTATATATGTTATTATATATATATTTTTTATTTTATTTTTTATTTTATTATATTATTATTATATATATATATATATATATATATATATATATATATATATTATTATTCTTATTATATATATTTTTTATTTATTATTATATTATATAAATTACATCATTTAGACATTTATGCATTATGCAAAGTTGTATTTATATGTATAAGATATGTAAAATATACATAGTGTTTAATATATATATATATATATATATATATATATATATATATATATATATATATATATATATATGTAATAAAAACTTATTCGTGATATCTTTTCGTAATATCTTTACAGCTATCCAGGCGCTGGAGATGCTGTGGGAGTGCATACTGTGTGTGCAGTCCGCCGCTCCGACGTGTCCACTCGTGCCAGTCGAGCAGTGGCCGTCGAGCTGCTGCAGCTGCCGCGTGTCAGGACTGAGTTTTAGCACCGGTCGTACATGGTTCGCGCATCTAGTGGATGGAGCTCACTGCCAGCTGACATGCGTCAGCGGTCGCGAACAACGCAGCCTTTAGGACACTCGTTGGCCTCGGTCCTGTTCGTCAGACGGGACTTTGAGCGACGTTATGTGCCATACAGCGTTATGACACGGGGCGACACCAAGCATACACACGTTACAATGAAAAGTCAGCAGCCGACATCTAGCATAAATGCCTCCTCCAGCGTCCGCGCACGATACTGCATGCGGCCCGTGGCGTGTGGCCCACGCTTGTCACTGGAACACCGCTCCGTCTCACTCACCACGTGTGTCGCTCGTGCGGCCCGTGGCGTGTAGTCCAGCTTGTCACTGGAACACCGATCCTTCTCACTCACCACGTATTGTTGCGTGAGTCGCTCGTGCGGCCCGTGGCGTGTGGCCCAGCTTGTCACTGGAACGCCACACCGTCTCATTCAGCACGTGTTGTTGCGCGAGTCGCTCGTGCGGCCCCGTGGCGTGTGGCCCACGCTTGTTACTGGAACACCGCCCCGTCTCACTCACCACGTGTTGTTGCGCGAGTCCCTCATGTGGCCCGTGGCGTGTGGCCCACGCTTGTCGCTGGAACACCACACCGTCTCACTCACCACGTGTTGTTGCGCGAGTCGCTCGTGCGGCCCCGCGGCGTGTGGCCCACGCTTGTCGCTGGAACACCACACCGTCTCACTCACCACGTGTTGTTGCGCGAGTCGCTCATGTGGCCCGTGGCGTGTGGCCCACGCTTGTCGTTGGAACACCACACCGTCTCACTCACCACGTGTTGTTGCGCGAGTCGCTCATACGACCGCCAGCTCGGCGCCGGATCAGTTATGGTTGGCTGGCTCCGCAAGCCGAGCGATCGCCACCAGCTCGGAGTGCTGCCTCCTCCTTACGACGCGCCTCAGCGGCCGCCTGGAGTCGGTAATCGGAGACCGCGGTGACGCGCGCGGTGATCCCCTCGACTCCGGAGCTGGGCAGAGGACCAGGGCGGAGCTGCGTCGCCAGTCCTTACGACGCGCCTCAGTGGCCGCCTGGAGTCCGTAATCGAACGTCGTGGTGACCCATTCGTCTCCGGAGCTGGGCAGGGGGCCAGGACACTAGTCCCTGGACAGGCCCGCTCTCGTCTGCCACCTGCCGTCGCTGGGAGGACTTCCCTCGACGCGCCGCTGGGCTGGACCAAACCGCGCGGACTTTTCACTTCGTTATCACCGACATCCTCACAAGCGCATGTGTTTTTCGCGATGGTTCGGCTCTAGCCCCCGAAGTCGTAAACTGTTAGGAATACGTCGATCTCGTCCGTTGGATTGCCAGGCCCAGATCCGCGGGCCAACCAATTTCCAAGCAATGGGCTCGTGAGATTGGTGCGGAAACCCTACGCCGGTGGGTCTCTGTCCGCTAAATTCCCTTGTGAGGTGGGCCTCTCAACGCACTGATCGAACCCATTGGTATGGGTCCCCGAGGTGTTCGGTTCCATTAGTCATGCTTGAGCGCCGTGTTCATGATGGCAGTACATCACTCTTCTGTTTGTTATCGTCTGGTTCATTCCACAACGCACAAGGCATTTCATGGTTGATTTAAGAGAAGTGGAAGATCCTTGTGACATTCTGGATGCTATTGTGTGAAACAACCTGCTTGATACTGTAGTGCTTGGTATAACAAATGATGTCTCGGCCCATCTGCATCGTTCTGGACACGTGCTTAGTAAGACATCGTTGCAAATCACGCGTTATCCCCGCGTTGCGCCCCTTTTCTGTGTACCCTGAAGTGGTGTGCAACGCTTGTATCGTCACGCTCGCTTTGAGGGGCCACGAAATATCCCCGCTGCAGCATCCAGCATTGATGACGCCGCAATCATCCACAACGTTCTTATGTCGCCAATATCGCATGCTTGGCCATGATCGAGTGCAGACCCATGGGGCCCGTCCCGTTGCTGAGCAGCGGTTGGAGATGATTCGGTGCCGGTGGTCGCGACGGCATGCTGCGGCAAGATAGACACGTCCTGTGTGTCAGCTCCGAGGCGGGCGAGCCTCCCGCCGTCCGGATCTCGTGACCCCCGGTCATCACCGCGTGCGCCCGGGAGCGGCTGGCCGCACGTCCGCGTGGGCAGCCGGTGTCAGTGAGAGGTGCACTGCGCGCGACATACCAGGCACGTGGTGACAAATCATTGCTGGACTCTGTCATGCTTGTTAGCAGCCTTCCGACGAAGATGGCCGCATGCATTGTCCGAATAACTCTGTCGTAGGAGCACCGCATGTGTCGGTATGTCGACACATGCGGTGTCCGAATACGTCTGTCATAGGAGCACCGCATTTGTCGGTATGTCGACACATGCGGTGTCCGGTCATAGGAGCACCGCATGTGTCGGTATGTCGACACATGCGGTGTCCTACTGAGTCTGTCACAGGAGCACCGCATTTGTCGGTATGTCGACACGTGCGGTGTCCGAATACGTCTGTCATAGGAGCACCGCATTTGTGGGTATGTCGACACGTGCGGTGTCCTACTGAGTCTGTCATAGGAGCACCGCATTTGTCGGTATGGCGACACATGCGGTGTCCTACTGAGTCTGTCATAGGAGCACCGCATTTGTCGGTATGTCGACACATGCGGTGTCCTGTCATAGGAGCACCGCATTTGTAGGTATGTCGACACGTGCGGTGTCCTACCGAGTCTGTCGTAGGAGCACCTCATTTGTCGGTATGTCGACACATGCGGTGTCCTACTGAGTCTGTCATAGGAGCACCGCATTTGTCGGTATGTCGACACGTGCGGCGCTCGGCATGGGGAGTGCAATGATACGTGCTGCCCTTGGCTCAATCACTCCACAGATCCGCTGGTATTTCTGATGAATAGCGACGTTCATACTTCGGCGCTGTTCTTTCAACATTCGTGAGCACATAACGACCGTTTAAATCCAGGCTCGGAGATCGCCGTTCAGTGAAGAATGTCCGTCTGTTTACGTCGTCTTCCACAGCTGGCTTTGTGCTTTGTGCACTTTGAGGCTGTTTTATCAGCGCCAATTGGCTAACAGAACGTTGCGGTGCATTGTTCGGCGGTGCAGCTGCAGCGTTTCCCGGGATGTGTGTTTGGAGGCAACATATGTTGCTGCGTCTCATGCGGTGCACATTCACAGGTGTCCTCGTTAAATCTGCGATGGCTGCGGCGATGGGATGCAACACAGCTGTGTCTGCATGAAAGACACAGCCAGGCAGCAGACACGGGTGAATCTCGGCATACTGTGCCATCCGCGGCCACGACTCAGCTCTGAAATTTGGCGAACAGAAAATGTGATTCACGTACTTACTAGTTTTTGCTTTGACAGGCACAAAATTTATGTAAGCGCAGCCTCTTGTACCCGGAGGGAGCAGGGCAGTGCTGTTTCCTGTCATTTTTAATTTTTGCACCATCCACCAAACATTGCGATGAATTCCCGCGCCAGGGAAAATGCACCAGATGAGAGACACGAACACATTGTTTGTTTTCTTCGGTGACTGATTTCGTGCTCGTTGCAACCGCTCCGGTCTCCGGTCGGCTCAGCGGCCTGCACTGCAGCACTAGCCCTCAGGCAGTCAGTGTTGACAGATGTGACAGACGCGGCGCCGAAATAGCGCACGAGTCGATACGGCTCAGCAAATGCCAGAGGCAGACGACAAACAGGTCCATACCGGCGGGCCGGGCGCAGCGGCCGCCCGGATCTACGCCCCCGCGCCCGCTTCCTGCCAGGGGGTCAGTGCTGGGCTTCCTCGCCGTGGCGCTAGGCGCCCGCTCGGCCGTGCAGGACTGAGTGAAGCGCTCGTCGGTTGTTGTGGAACGCAGCAGTGAACGGCTGCGTACGGCACACTAAAAAAAACGTGACGAGGTTTACCCGTTCGGGGCACAAGCTACCCACTGCAGCCCTATTGCTCGCGTCTCGGATCGAAAATGCGTCTCACCACGCTCCGCTGACGGAGTGTTGTTGCTTGGTGAGTGCTGTGTTTGCCCTGGGTGAATAATGTGCTCGTCCTTGGTGCCCGCACAACAACGTGAGGTGAAGATGGAACGGGCTCGAGCGGACAGGGGAGAACGGTGTGGACTTGACGGACCGCTTCCACCAGTTAACACCTCTGGGGCGCTGGTGTCCATTCCCGAGTTTGCGGGAGTCAGCTGCGAGTCTGTCAACGTGGCCTGATCTGACGCCGGCTGATGCCCATGTCCTGATCTGATCTGATCTGTCGTGGCCTGATCTGACGCTAGCCGATGCCCATGGAAAGCTCATGTCCTGATCTCATCTGATCTGATGTGATCTGATTTGTCGTGGCCTGATCTGACGCCGGCCGATTACCCATGGAAGGTTCATGTCTTGTTTAGGTTTCCGTATGATTTCCGATTAATCTCTGCTGGTCCCTGCACCCATCGTGCATAATAGGATGACCCAATTACGCCCCCCCCCCTCACCTCACATCATCAGCGGCGGTTTAACAGTGGCGATTCTTTTTTTCCGTAGGCTTGGGCATGGCTGACCTTCGTTTTTGCCGACGGTTACCGTCGGATTATTGGGCTGGCGACTTAGATAACCGCGTGCAGACAGTCGTTTCTCACGTGCCCATCGCCAGGGACGGAGTTGCCATCCTGTTCTCTACGGCCTCAGGTAAAACACCTGAGTTGGTTGGTTACTCTGTGGTGTGTGCAAAACGACATAATCAACTTTGAATCAAGATGGTGTCGCATCTTGGTGCTATTTTGATGACGCAGGTGGCTGACGCTTATTTGTAGCACTGTCCCATGAAAAACTATTACTTCTTATGCATATTATATATATATTATATATATATATATTATATATTATATTATATATATATGCGTACACATAACAGACCCGGTTGGCTCGATGATCGCACTCAACCATGCGTGGCGCGGCTGTCGTGGCCAGCTCTAAATGACACCAGATTGCGGTGTCTGTTTATGGCCGTCTCTCACATTACGTGCCGTGGCCTAAGCTCTGATCCGATAACGCTGGTGCCGCCCGCAAGCTGAGCCCATCCACCCACACCCTGTGCACCATTGCGGTTAGTGGAATAAGGCTGTTGAAACTGGAACTGTTGAGACTGGAACTGTTGCATATCGCATTCGGCAAAGGTGCTAACCTTGGCTGATCCTCGGGACTGTTCGGGACGGGATAAAGCTGTTCTGGCCTGGCAACTGCCATCTGACCCCCACGGGACGTCGCTGGGAATGGCTCGGCGGGGTCGCTGAGCGCTCGTGAGGCCCAGCCACGAGCCGGCGCCAGCTTACGTCCACACGGGCCAGCGGGTGGGTGTGGCGCTGTTGCATCGCTGGGACGAGAGGGATGAGAGGCGGCGCGGTCGTCGGCACCACGCACACTCGAGAGCCGCCGGGGGTAAGCCACGCGGGCGCCGACGGGAAGCCGCCAGGGAAGGCTGGGCCTCTGTCGAAGCCAGACCGGCGACGGAGCAGCCCAGGAGGTCGCCGCTATCTGAACCAGGCAGGGTAACAAGGGGCCGATAGGATAACACGGGAGCCTTTCTCTGAACCGGACAGGATATCGCGGGAGCTGGTCTCTGAACCGGACAGGATACCACGGGAGCCGCTCTCTGAACCGGACAGGATACCACGGGAGCCGCTCTCTGAACCGGACAGGGCAGCGTGGGAGCCGCTCTCTTAACCGGGCCGGACAGCAGGGGAGCCGCCCTCTAAACAGGACAGGATAACACGGGGCCGCTCACTGAATCAGACAGGGCAGCGCGGGAGCCGCTCTGAACCGCACGTGACTTGGTAGCCGCCTGTTCTGTGGAAGCTCTCCCAGAGACGGGAGATACCGGTGTAAACAATTACTATTGGCAGTAAGCACGCTTCTGAGCAGTCACCAAGTGCTGATTCTACATTTCTGAGCATCGGCGGGATTCTTGAAATAGAAGGATCAGTGGGCCGTTGCTGGCCACGGTCGGCGGATGACTCGGGCGACCTGCTGACGTAAATGTCCATTCCAGCGATGCCAGTGATGCCGGGCTGTCTCCCAACGCATCCCGTGATAAATGTCCCTCTGCGAGTTTCACCGTCTCCTCGCATCTTGCTCAGGTCGTCGTCACTTTGTTTATGGAACCAGGTCACCGTGCTTTCCCCTTTGAATGTCTCGTGTCTTGCCTCTCTTCCAGGTGCGTGTCACGCGCTGTGTCGTGCCGCCCCTGTCCGCGTCTCCCTGGGATGCTGTCTCGCATCCGGTCTAAACATCCCCCTGTGTCTCACCGTCCCCCTGTGTCTCACCGTCTCCTGTGTCTCACCGTCCCCGTGTCTCACCGTCCCCGTGTCTCACCGTCCCCCGTGTCTCATTGTCCTCCATGTCTCATTGTCTCTCTGCGTCTCACCATCCCTCCGTATCTGAGCGTCCCTCAGTGTCTTACTGTCTCTATGTGTCTCACCGCTCCCGTGTCTCGCCGTTCCCATGTCTCACTGTACCTCATGTCTCACCGTACCCCATGTCTCACGGTACCCCGTTTCTCACCGTCGCCCGTGTCTCACCGCTCTCCCGTGTCTCACTGTACTTCGTGTCTCACTGCCCCCCTTGTCTCACCGTCCTCCAGTGTCTCACTGTCTCCATAGGTTTCACCGCCCCCGTGTCTCACCACCCGCTCCCCGCGTCTCACCTCCCCTCCGTGTCTCACCGTCCCCTTGCCTCCCGCAGGTGAACTTCCTACTGGGCCAGCTGGCCGGCCTGCTGGCCGCCTGCCTGTTCCGTCTGAGGCTGCCGCCCGGCCGAGTGGGCGCCACGGCGCGCCACCTGGCGGCTGCCGGCATCGGGCTGGCTGTGCTGCTCCTCTGCTACGGCCGGTACGGAACGCTGCGGTGACCTTGGAGCGGCGCGTTCCCGCCGGCGCGCCGCTAGTGGAGCCTCCCACGGGCGGGTCCGGCGCGGCGCTGCTGCTCGCCCGGGCTTGTTTATGGTGCTGTTGCCGGGTACTGAGGCGTTTTTGCGGTGATTTCAAAGACCCGTGGGTTGTCTGAGCTACCTCCCCCCCTCCCCCGCTTGACTGGGTGATCACATGGACGATAGGAATGCTTGATATTCGGAGCGTGTGTGCGTGACCTGGATTCGATGCAACTTCTGCATACCTGGTGTTTGGAGGGTTGTCCTTAACGTGCTAAATGCCAGTGTTTGGTTAGGTGTTTTAGGGGTGGGCCGACTACAGGTGTCATTTTGTGTCCGTTATGCGTGAAGTCGTGTCGCCATGGAACACGCCACAGTATGTCAGAAGTATTTACTATTCGACGGCCAATGGCGCGATGGGAAAATCACTTTGTTTCTGACCTGCCTCTAAAATGTAGCGCTTAGTAGCAGTCTCCACCGCTACCGTCACCCCTCCCCCTCCCCCACCTGTTGTTGTCACCGCGGCGGTCAGAAGGGGGCGCGGCCCGGCCGACTCCGCCGCCTCACCGCGCCGTCCTCTCCTGCTGCAGGGACACCAAGCACGTGATCGCGCAGGCGGCGCTCAACTACGGCGTCATCCGCCTGGCCCCGGCCCACTCCGTCCACAGGTGAGGCGTCCACGCCGTCCACCGGCGGGCCGTCCACCCGGTCGCGGCGTCCACCGAGCCCACTGTCCGCCGCGGCGTCCCCACCCGCCGCAGCGGCCCGGACGGCGGCTGGGCCGCCGTCTGGTCCACATCTCCCTCAGTTCTGCCTGCCTTTGACATCGCCACGCCGGCGCCCTGCGTGGTTGACCTGCCGCCCCTCCCCCGCGCGCGCCGAGCCGCGTGCTGACCGGCTCCGCACGTGCTCGCGGTCTCGGCCGGATCCGCTGCCCGCCCCCCCCCCCCCCGCTCCAGCTGTCCGCTGAATAGCTCGTGTGACCTTGGTCGGGCTGGTGCTGGAGTGCCGAGCGTGGCTTGCGCTGGTCAGCCCCGGGCGCGGCGGCGGGCGCTGGCGCGCGCACCCGGGCCGGACGACCGACTGCTGGTCGACCCGCGCCCCGGCCGCACCCGGCTGCACTGAGGCCCGGTGCGCGAGGCGGATGTCAGCGATTGCGGTGTTTACCTGGGTTTCTGGGTGCCCCGGGGAGATTAGGTCGGCAAACATCGTCCCCGGTCGGGCGCTGTAGACTGTGGCCGTGTGTGATGGCAAGCCCGGATGTGCTGACTGCAACTACGGGCGGCGGCGCAGCGGCTGTTTGAGCTGCATAATGTGCGGTGGGGGCAGCTGTTGTGCGTTGGCTTTCCATCCAATGGGGAAGGCCGGGTGGAAATCTGCCGATCACACAGGATTCTTCGATTGTTCTCCATTGGTTGCTCACAATGGACAACTAGAAGGGGTGAAAGCTTCCGACTGAAGTGAAAGCGGTCACTTCTAATGCATTTATGGATTGAATGTTTCCCTTAGCGTAAACTGGGTGGCTTATAGTACACGGGAGCAGCGTTCATATCTTCTGATATTTGCGTTATTGGATCGGAAAACGAAAGGTGGAGAAGTGCATGGGGCAAACCACGCATATACTGACGTCCACTTCGCTAATCATGTAGCAGACCTGCCAGCCTGCGACACTGCCCTCAGACGCCGCTGTCTCCGTCGCCAGGTTGTGTTTGCTGGCGGCTATGGCGTACCTCACTGTGATCCACTACTGGCGGCTGGGCAGGCCGCAACAGTACATAGACATCTCAGGTGAGTGACGGCCGTGACCCGGGTGACCCGTCACGCGTCACAGCACGCCGGGGCGCCGCCGGGTCGTCACGCGTGACGCCCCCGGCGTCGTCGCTCCGTCACGCTGCCGTCGGACGCTGGGTCGGGTCAAAGTGACGCCACGTCGAAATCCCGGTCTTCGTCATTGGGATGACCTGTCACTGCGGGCGCCTTTGCGCTGTTGCCATCCCTGTTATTGGTCGGCACTGCTGCCACGCCGCTCGTGGCCTGTTTCCCACATCCAGTGCATGCAGCAGACGTAAACTGTCAGGAGAGGGTCCTCCGTGCAGTCATTCGTGGCGATTCCCAGCATGTTGCCAGGTTCCCAGCGTGTTGCAGCTGTAACGTCTCCGGCCCCACAGGGCCTGTGATGGTGCTGACCATGAAGACAACCCTCCTGGCGTTCAACCTACACGACGCCAGCAGGGCCGCCTCGGGCGATGTGGAGCTGAAGCCGATGCTGCGAAGCATAGCCGTCAGGTGGGCCCGGGTCCCCGCCCAGCCACCTCCTCCGGATCCCCATCCCCAGTACCCCTCACTCGGGTCCTCTCTCCCGGGTCCCCTTCCTCAGGCCCCCTTCCTCGGGTCCCGCCCAGCCACCTCTGGATCCCCATCTCAGTACCCCTCCCTCGGGTCCTCTCTCCCGGGTCCCCTTCCTCAGGCCCCCTTCCTCGGGTCCCGCCCAGCCACCTCCTCCGGATCCCCATCCCCAGTACCCCTCACTCGGGTCCTCTCTCCCGGGTCCCCTTCCTCAGGCCCCCTTCCTCGGGTCCCGCCCAGCCACCTCCTCCGGATCCCCATCCCCAGTACCCCTCCCTCGGGTCCTCTCTCCCGGGTCCCCTTCCTCAGGCCCCCTTCCTCGGGTCCCGCCCAGCCACCTCCTCCGGATCCCCATCCCCAGGTCCCCTTCCTCGGGTCCTCTCTCCCGGGTCCCCTTCCTCAGGCCCCCGTCCCCGGGTCCCCGTCTTCAGGTCCCCGCCCAGTCCCTCCGGTCCCCGCTCAGCCCCCTCCCGGCTCCTCAGCCCTCCGGGTCCCTGTCCCCAGGTCCCCGTCCGGTCCGCCCGGATCCCCGCAGTGGCATGCCGGACCCAGGACCCCACGCCGCAGCCACCTCGCGTGACCTCTGCCGCCGCGGTGATGTCAGTGGGGCGAGAAGGCCCAGATCCGGCCGATCTGTCGTCCTTGGATCAATGCAACGATTTCATGTGCTTTTGCGAAACGCGACCGCAGTCAGCGCTTATCATTTTGCCGCGTATGTGACGTCAGTCTTTGACAGCCGTGTTTTATATTGAGGCTATACTGTTGAGTGATCGGGTCACATAAACTATCCGCCAAAGGCACGTTGCACGCGATGTATGTACTCCCATCCTACGCAGTGTCTACCGAACGTGGTTCTTCACGAATGCACGCAGATATCCGATAGTTTCCAGATATTTCGTTAAGTGCCGAAATTTCTCACGTTTTGTCCTTCATTACATTACTATGTGTATTCCGAAGAAGTTCGTGTCTTTTGAACCACTGGTGATCAGCCCGGTACCTATAAGCTGTGTCTTCATCCCGTGCTCGAGCTGAAAGCCTAATTTCATCATCAGTGATGTTGTCCAGGGCGGCGCAATCCTTGCGGCAAAGGCCACGTGCTTGTAAGGCGATGGTTCTGACCGACCAAGACCTTGCTCGGCTCCCCTGCCCCTCGCCCTGGACGCGCCCTTGCCGTTTCGTGACGCAAACGTCAAGCGACCGATGGCGACGGCCGTGCCGGAATCAGGCGCTGCTGCTGCGCTGTATCGGGGGCGCGAACCTGATGCAGCGATAGCTCTTGTTTTCCTCGGCGTGCATGGAGCCGCCTGAGCCAGTGGACCTCCGCCAGCTATCACGCCAAACATTTCCCGGCGCCTGTCATTGTCCTCCCACCGCATGGTTCACAGAAATGAGGCTGCAAAAGGCTTTTAGAGCGGTTCTATGCACTTCATCGACCGATTACGCAGCGCTATGCCCCATCGTCTGACGGCGCCCGTGTTCGACTGATGAATTGGCCCGTTCCAGCAAAGCTCCGTCCCTGGTCGAGTTTGCGGGGTACGCGTTCAACTTCCAGACCGTACTCGTGGGACCAATGATAGACTTCTCTCACTACCGCCACTTCATCGAGGTTGGACTCTCACCGACGCCGCTCTCAGACAAGGTCAGAAGAAGTGCACTGCAGCTACCGTTGGCGTATGATAAGCGCAGCTGCGTCGCTCAAATTGAGATATGTATCGTTGGAGCGGGGTCCCGTAAACATCCGGCCCACTTTCTGACAATATGACAAGTGTTGGCTGGCATTGTGTTTCGAGCTTTGAAGCAAGAAGCTCTGAAGTTCCTGGGCGCTTAAAAGATAGTCGCATTTGCATATCCATTTGTGCCTCGTCTTTGATACGGCTCAACTCTGTCGCATTCGGTAGCGTTATGACGGTCGTCATTATCGCAGTGGAACGGTTCGTACTTGGCGCTAACGACTTGATCAAGCGATTCGGATTCGTCGAAAATAGCTGGAGGGTGCAATCAGACCGACTCGGCGGCGGAAGCCCGCCCGGGTCCGCCATGTGGGGGAGGGGGGGGGGGGCGTCGACGGGTCGATGACCTGTCAGCTTGCTCTGACGGTCGGCCCGGAACTGAGGCCGCTCCCAGAGCCGCCAGACCCGGTCGCTCTCAGAGGCCAGGGTGTCAATAGTCTGCCGACGGAACTGAGGCCGCGCTCAGAGCTTCCAGACCCGGCCGCGCTCAGAGCCGCCAGACCCGGTCGCTCTCAGAGGCCAGGGTGTCAATAGTCTGCCGACGGAACTGAGGCCGCGCTCAGAGCTTCCAGACCCGGCCGCGCTCAGAGCCGCCAGGCTCGGCCGCGCTCAGAGGCCAGGGTGTCGATGGTCTGCTGACGAAACTGAGGCCGCTCTCAGAGCTGCCAGACCCGGCCGCGTTCAGAGCCGCCAGACCCGACCGCGCTCAGAGGCTGGGGTGTCGATGGCCTGTCCACATCGCTTTCCGCGCGGCACGGCTCATAAAGCTGGCACCAATCTGCCGCTCGACATTATCCGGGGACATCGTGGCTCGTCGCGATCGTGCCGTCATTCTGGCGCCGTGATACCATTTGCGACCGTGTACAATTGTCTGGTGTCTGTTACTCCACGAAGTGGGTTGTGTAGCGTCACAGCCGTCCTACCGACCCTGGAGCGCAATTCACAGAGTCTTCTGGAAAGGCGCCGCTGGCCTTTCCTCTCGCTGGCTGTATCTGTCTGTAACAGGTAATTGGCACCGATTTTCGTCGGACTCTCAATACCCTAAATCTGCTCACGTAAGTTGGATCTCAGCGAGCCTCGACTGACTTGTTTTGGTTTTCCGCCGAGCCTCCTGTGACCCCCCACTGGATAGCTCTGCCTGGCGTGACCGGTCCTGACCTGACCCCGTCCGACCTCGGCGGTGCGCTGAGCCCGGCTCGCTTTTGCTGACCTGGCCCTGATCTTTGCCGACCGGCTGCCAGGCTAGCTCGGACGACAACGACAACCTGGTGTCGCCGTCGCCTACGCCGGCCGTCCTGCGCAAGATGGTGCTGGCCATGATCACCTCGGCCTGCGTGGTGTTCCTGGTGCCGCTGGTGCCGCACTCATTCTTCAAAGGTGTCGTCACAGAACTCGACCGCGCGCTCTACTGTATAATTTTATGCTGATGTGTTTTTTTACGGATAAGTGGGCAGCCCTTTGCTGTAGAGTTTTTAAATCAGCTAGTTGGTTATGCTTCATAGTGTCAAATGCTTCTCGCAAACTGGGATTTTAGGGCTATTATCCAGGGTTGACTTCCGTTGCGTGAAATGGCCATATCAACGCTGTGTCATGCACATTATGTACGTGCGTAATATGCAAAAATGCTGGCTGTTGATTGTGATGGCGTACCCCGATTAGTTGCACGAGGATTGCACGTGTTTCGAAGCGGGCTTCACTTGCATTAGACGGAATGTCTCACACCCAGACTGATGTGGGACGTTTTTGTGCTAGACCGTAATCCATTGTGGTTTGATATGACATCATCAGGCCTCTGTCTGGAATGCTGATTACCACTATCCGTCTTGCAGAAGAATGTCGCGCTAATTAATTCGCTCGTCACGCACGCGTGACCGCGAGCTCGCAATGTCATAGTCCGCCACAACAGCCAGCTACCATCAACGTCACCTACGGTGCACCCATGTCCGCACCCATAGCTCGAGCCAGCGTCAGCCCCCGCGCGCAGTGAGGCCGACCAGCGGCGCCGCCGCCGCCGACCGGCCGGTGACGCTCTCCCCGCCGCAGAGGAGGCCTACCACGCCTGGTCGTGGCGCCGCCAGTGGGGCTACATGTACCTGTCGGGCATGATGGCGCGCATGAAGTACTACGCCGCCTGGACCCTGGCCGAGGCCGTCTGCAACGCCTCGGGGCTCGGCTACAGCGGCCGGCGTGACGACGGAAGCCAACGCTGGGGGGCCGCCGCCAACGTCAACGTCTGGAAGGTCGAGGTACGGATGATTCGGAGCGTCTGATGTGAGTTGGTAATTATTGGGCTTTTAGGGTGCATGAACTGCGTTGGTTATTGGGGCCTCGATGTGAGTTGATAGATGCATCGAGAAAGGGATGTGGGCCCGATGGGGAAGGGTGCATACAAAAGCGGTGTGCGTTGGCTTGTGCGGGGTATGTGAGGGTGCCCAATATTTGGGGATGAATGTACAATGTGTGGAGTGTGTTCAGATTAGGCGTAGATACGTTGGAAAGCAGCCACTGGGTTGGGGCGTCCATGGGCAGACTGTCCACATTTCGGAGCTGTAAAGAACGCGTGTGAACAAGATTAATGTCGTCGTACGGAGAGCAAAACTAGACGCCTCTCCCTCTGTGCCTCCCGCATGCAGGAAGCACCTGGAAAGGCACATAAGCCTCCCACGATGCCCATGTTCATACGGCGGGCGCGTTTGTCACTGCTGGCTTCAGTCGGAGCAGAGTGGCTCGCTGCACCCGGCCCGACCCACCGCATTTATTGGCTAGGCCCGTCTGGGCACGGAAATATATTCGGTTTTGTTCTAGTAATTCGCTTCGCGATATTTTTAGCTTCTGATCAGAGTCGGCGGGATCAGTAGCCGCGGGGCTGGTAATGGGATCCGACCTCGGACCTTTATGTGCCACTGGAGGGCTTGTGGAAGCCCGATGAAAGCCTCGTGCGATGTGCACCATTTCGGAGTGAGGCGCTCTCGTTTGCAAGTCCATTGTGGGTGCGGTATTAAGTACGTGACTGCCCCCAGCGTTTCAGATATTACCAAGGGAAAATAAATTGCTGGCCCTTGACGAATGCTGTCGTCCGTATCGCTGACCGCGGGGTCTTCAGGTCACGGTCAATAGGTCACCACCATCCAGACGCGTGACTGGCGCGTTGCGAGCGAGAATCAGAAGATGCAAACGCTAGTATTCGCGGGTCGTGGAGGGGTGTGTTCGAACTGTGGTAAATGGGTCCGGGGTATTGCATCTCACGGTTTTCTCGATGTGGTGCGTGCTGGGGTGTGGTCAGAGTGTGAGTGCACACGCAACACTGAGAATGCAGAGACAATACTTTATCGAAGTGCTTCTGTGTTAAGATCAGTTCGATAGTGCGTCATGTTTTTAGTTCATTGCGTGTCGTCAGCGGGACAGTTTTTGCTGGCCGGAATGGTGCAGCCACTGCACTGATTGGCCGGTAGTATCTCATGCTGTGTTCCTGTTACGGACTGAAGGCAAGCGGGATGCGATGTTGTTGCCTTGGAGGCCTCGTGTCAGCAAGCCGCGCAGTTTTTACGCCAATGCTGCCACAGTAACACTGACTTCTCCTTGAACGGTACATCCTGTTGTCACGACGACCAGCAGGTCATTCCCTTGACGTCTTGTTTTGGACCAGGCCCAGTAAAGTCACATCCCTTGCTGCTGCTCGTCGTAACCATGCCGAGCAGTGAAAATCTGCGACGGTAGATTGGACAGTGCTGCATGGGACAGGATCGAATATGCAGCGACGCTCGGTTGCTACTTTACGACTCCTGCTTGCCTGCCTGGGTGCTGGGGCCGTTACTCATGTTCGGCGTGTTGTCCGGGTGGTCCGGGTCCCAAGCGAGCGTCCTGCGCCACAAAGGACCTGCTTGCACGTCCTTTACTTGCACCGCAAAATTGGACGCTGCCAGTAGTTAACCAACTTGTCCCTCTGCCGTGGCTTTCGTCGGCTTTTAAAACACGCCGGGGCCCCGTGCTCAATAGTTTTTCCTCATCTGATTGCTCCATTTCCGGAAATTTGCCGTTCATTGCTAGCTAATTCATCTTCTGTGTCTGTAGGTCTGTAAGTCTTTTGCTCACTTCTGGTTTGCTTCTAACGGACGCTCGCAGGAATGCGTGATATGCAATAACACCTGAACATCATGCCCGACTATTGTTGACCTCTTTTGGTCTGTGTTTACGCAGTCTTAAAGCTTCGCCAGCACCTGCTGTCTCCGTTGCCCTCGGTTTTGTCCTGATGATGTTCAGACTGCCAAGGCTTGGCAGCCACCGCCGTGTTGTAGTGCCTGTACCATACTACGTGCTACTACAGACTATGTCTATCACACCACATGCGCTAACTGATATCACACTACTCGAACACCTGTCAGCCCTGTGATCGCTCCCGGCAACCCAGCTCACCTGTCGCCGCCCCCCCCCCCCCCCCCCCCAGTTCGGCTCCAGCTTCCGGGAGGTGCTGGAGGGCTGGAACGTGGGCACGGGTCGGTGGCTGCGCCTGGTGGCCTACGAGCGAGCCAGCCGACACCGCACGGCCGCCGTCTACGCCCTGAGCGCTCTCTGGCACGGCCTCGACCCCTGCTACTACGCCACGTTTGCCGTCGGCGCCCTTTGCACACAGGCCGGACGTGAGGTGAGCGCCGGTGGCGCCACGGTCGGCGTGGTGTAGAACTAGCTCTGCCTCGCGTTTCTCCCTCAAGTTGATGTTGATTGTGTCCGTGTGGTCGAAAACCAATGCGTCAGATACGATGGCTGATGTGAGAATTGGCCAGACAGCTGTAAGGTGCCATGTTCTGTGCTGGATTGCAATTATGCGCGTGTATTTACGAGTTACGGTGCTGCTCGGCCATGGGTGGAGGCTGTCGTTCCCAGGTGCACTTGTTGTTTCGACTCGGATGTGATGATATAATTTAATGCAGATGAAGTGTCCTTAATCGCCTGCGTGGTAACGTCAGCAGTCGCCCGATCGTCGCTGGCCCGCGGTGCGTCAGCAGCGCCTCTCGCGGTAATTTCAGGGCCGGCGCTGTCTGCGGCCGCGCTTCCAGCGCTGGAGGGCCGGCCGGCTGCTGTACCACCTGGCCGGCTGGGTGGCCACGCGCGCCTGCCCTCGCCTACCTCAGATACCGTTCGTGTTGCTTGACATGCGCACCTCGCTGCGCGTCTCTGGTGAGTTGGGCTGAGGTGGGTGGGTCTTCTGCTCTGCCGTCGGTGCGGCTCGCTCAGGACGCGATGGTGGACGCGAACGTTCCGCGCTTGTACACTCGGTCGTGGCTGCTTCTCGTCGCTCAAGTGGTCTGAAAACGTGATCGATGAATGATTCGACTCGCTGTTTTCCGACTGTCGATATCAAGCCGCCCCCTCCCTCTCGCAGGGACCTGTACTTTATAGTGCACGTGGTGTGCGTGGCGATGATCCTGCTTCTGCCGCGCCTGATGCCGCCGCCCGAGAAGACGCCGATCGGTTCACCTGGCGGGCGCCTCGATGTCCGCGACCTTGTCCAACGGCCGGGCGACCCCGGGACAGCACCAAAGCGACGCTCGAAAAACGGCCGCGTAAACCGGGAGAACGGCCGCCTGGCCAGTGACGTCATGGCCGCCGGCCTGCGCCACCGGACCTCGAACGGCACGGGTCCAGGACCGATGGTGAGCGAGCTGGCGTTGGCGGGCGCCGGCGCCGGGCTCCGAGTGTCGTGAGGTCAGCACGGGGGTCGCGTGACGGGGTCCTAGTCCCGCCGGCCGGCGGAGGTCGGACGGCCCACGCCGGCAGCGCCGCCTGGTGAGCGGCCGTCGGTGGACTGGGAGCGTCCCGCTGATGACGAGCGGCGGGAGGGCTGAGCAGCTGCCGTGCCAAAGGCCGCGGGTGTGGCCTCGCGCCAGGTCCGTGTGTTGGATATGATTGTGAACACACCGTGAGGCGTGGCACCTAAATCCAGTTAAGTTCCAGCCGTAGGTGGGCCCGAGTGAAGTACTTAGTGCGCTTCGGACTTTTGCAGACAATCCAGCTCTCTGTGGGTTCCTTTTTTAAAGGAGCTGTGATCTTACGCTTCGTGCTGTGTTTGATGTGGCGGGTTCCGCATAATTTTGCATGTTTTCGTGAATGGGCTCTGCACGTCATCTTTTGCTGCTTTGTGCGCTTCTTTGTGATCAACTCGGTGCGAGCGGTAGGCACAGATGTGACGACGCGGGTCTTACTTGGCACTGGCTCACTGATTGTACTTAGCCCGCAACCGGATATCGCGTTTGATGGTTTATAACTGGAGTACGTAGAACGCACGTCGATAATGGCAAAGCTGGCTTAACTTTTCGTATGTGAAGGTTGTAATCACATTCTTTAGAAACCCATCCAACCTCGGTAGAAAACATATAAAGGAACGTTGCGGAGTAGTGCACTGTTTTGAACTTGTCATTTGGCAGTGTTGCATATGTTTAGAGACCTTTTTAGTCAGAGCTTCAAGCTTTTTATTGCAGCTCTCTGGCCTTTATTTTGTGTACTTTTGTATCACTCATCAAGACTGCTATAAACCGATCATGGACGCAATACAGCTTTGCGGTTTGACATTCGAAGCGCTGGGATTCTTCAGAGCCGCTCGTGGTGTTTTTCCCTGCGTGTATGGTGATCATGCAAAAATACTACGTCGATGTTTATTTCTACTTGGGCATTACTCACGCTAGGTGCAGATAAAGCACAGTGAGGGATCTTGCACCCTTGTTATGGGTCTATGCACTCCTCGTACCGTCAGTCGTGTTCAACCAGTCGTACCCATTGGTTACGCCCGATTTCGGCACGTGCAATTACTTTCACCAATCTTGGTATCTGGTGCTAAAGGGTCATGAGCTTGCTCACTTCGTAGTTCACACCGGCACGCGTGGCACTTCTCGGTTTGTATGTGTGCCGTAGAGGGACACTGAATAGCTACATGATTTATTCCGTACTGAAATGTCACAAAACAATGCCACCTGACACTCAAATGTTACATGGCAGCACGAATATCACGTATATAATATGACATACGTCGGGGGGATATACGGCGCAGCTACCACGGATAACTAGGCGGAACACGCATTGTGCGCCCGGCCGCTGTCCACATTTACATCCCGTCCGTAACGATTTGGCGTCGCGCCGACCGACAGCGGCCGGCAGAGCGGCTGCGCAGTGCCGCCACTCTCTCGCAGCGGCGGATGAGCAGAACAGTGCCGTCATGAGCGGCCACTGACCAGCAGTGCCAGCTGGCGGCCGCCGTCAACACGCACCGCGGTCCGGCGTAGGGTTCCCCACGGCAGCTCGACTCGATATGCAGGCGATATTGCAGAATTACACGTACGGAAGACTTGGCAGATCGCGCGGCGCTAGATGGGCAGGGGAGGAGACGTGCGAGCGGACTTCTACAGCGGCCCCCGGAGTGCGGGAGCCATTACTGGCGACTAGGTAGCTTACAACTGAGGCCTGCGACCCCGTAACAAGCGCGTCACGCCGCGCCGCGGACCTCGCACCGGTTATCGATCATTCGCCTTCATCAAGCGCCCCGTTCCAGGCCAGCCCTGTGGTACAAAACGCCGCGTGCTTCACGCCGATGCCAGCGCGCGACTGAACGGTGTTCGGTCGGCCGGCTGTAACAGCCCGAGCTCATCTGAACTCCCCGCGAGCCGATCAGGGGATTTCTCAGGTGATGGAAGTCGTAACAGCCTGCAGGGCCCCGCACACGCAACGAACTGAGCGCGGTCTCGGATACCGTGAACTGATGAGACACACGCCACGCGGCTTCAGTCTGCTCAGTCCGCAAGTCGAGATGCGAGGAAAACTCCATCGACCGAAAGCCAGCACAGTGCGCTCGACCCCGCACAGCACCATCCTGGTGCTATGGAAGTGAGCCTGGACTCGCACGAGCGAAATGACATTCGCGCCAGACCTAGTTTTTCGCGTTCAACGGCCGGAAGAATAAAAACAACGTTTTGGTTCAGGTTGAGCGACCGCAGTCCGGTCACCCCACATTACAAGGCAGGACATGGCAAGCTCAGAGCCAGCATCTTGACACTGCCGTTGTACACAGCCTCCAGGGCTGCGAGTATTAAGCGGTCCTACTCAACACACAGACTGCGCTCGCCGGAACTCAACGACTAGCCTAGCCAATGCGACTGCTTATCAACTAGTGGCCAACTTCGGCTAGTCATCTACTTGTGAAATCTACTGCACCAAGGTCGGATAACCGTGCCTTGAGGGTCCTCCAAATTGAGGAGAATATGTCGGCGAATGAAATCGTGACAGCGTGTGTGGAGGCACGTTTTGGATTATGACAATTTTCGTATTCCTAAACCGGCCGAGAGGATCGCGTGTTCGCAAAAAAGATTCTCTCTGCTGTACTTAACGAGAAGGTAATGGAAGCGGCACACTCATTCCAGTGACTCCGCAAGTTGGGGGGGGGGGGGGGGGTTCACCCTGACTGAGGAATGCCTCTAGCGCTGGGCCGAGGCGCCGTGCTGGAAAAGAACTGACGTCTCTATCGGGCTCCATCCGCTATGTACAGGCTTGGGCCTCTGTTACCTACTCGGTTGGTTGGGCCTAGGTTGTTGGTTCTAAGTGCGTTCATCAGTGTCGAATCACGGCAGTGACGGTCGACGTCAGATTCTGTCACGCCCGGCTGCCTCCGTGCAGCTGTTCTTAGCCCCCTTCAGCTCCCTTTCCCCTACCCGTTGCGTCCCTGAACACTGTGTAGCAGACGAGAACCTTGGCTAGGGTTGAGGAACAGAAGCGCCCGCCTCCCAGAAACCGGCCAGCCAGCCCGGGTTGTGAACCAGCACCCACTCCCTTAACCAGTGGTAGCATTCAAAGTGCCACCAGTCGCCGCCGACCGTCCACTGGCCCCGAGCAGCCTCTGCGCCTGCTCAACCGCGCGCCCTCCCCGCCCTCCGAATCACTGGCAGTGACCGGCGACCCACCGCGAGGGACCATCCGACCTGCCGCCAACGGTGGATGACCCTCAGAGACGGCCGACTGGCACGGCCCGCGGAGGGTGCTCCACGGTCACCCGACGGTGCCTCAGAGACGGCCGACTGGCACGGCCCGCGGAGGTGCTCCACGGTCACCTGACGGTGCCTCAGAGACGGCCGACTGGCACGGCCCGCGGAGGTGCTCCACGGTCACCTGACGGTGCCTCAGAGACGGCCGACTGGCACGGCCCGCGGAGGTGCTCCCACGGTCACCTGACGGTGCCTCAGAGACGGCCGACTGGCACGGCCCGCGGAGGTGCTCCGACTGTCACCCGACGGTGGCCTCAGAGACGGGTGATCAGAAGTGGTCGACCAGCACGGAGACGCAGTCGGCGCCGACGCGGCTGGTGCGGCCGTCGGCCGTCAGCCGCACGTTCTGCCAGCTGTCCGGCCGGCCGCGCGGACTGTCCGAAAGACTTGAGCGCGAAGCTCCAGCTCTGCGGTCGACGGCGGCGCAGTGCGGCAGCCGCAGCTCCACCGGCACGTCGAACTGCAGCCCGTGCGGTCCGCACATCACCAGCGGGCTGAGCAGCGTCTCGCCTGCCGACACATGGCCCAGCAGGCTGATCGGAAAGCCGCGAGGCGTCACACGAGCTCGTGTGTCCGCTCGGAGCCCGCGCTCTCCCCAGCACATATCCTCACGACACAACGCGTTCGCGAACCGCCGCGCACGCCGCCACTTCAGCTCAGCCTGCCACCGTCGTACTCTATCCCCCCGTTCAGAGCATTGGCCTGCACATCCATCACCCTTCCCGACACGCACACCTCGGCCCCGCCGCTCCCCACTCCGCCACGTCCCACCGTCTCCGGCTGACACACACCGCAACCCCCCCCCCCCCCTCCGCCGCCGCCACTCACCTTTCCTGGCGTCGAGCGGCGGCAGCAGCGAGCTGTCCTGGCACACGTTGAAGTAGATCTCCTGGGTGCGACCGCGCCGGATGGCGCCCGGGGGCACCACCACGGCCACGCCCGTCTCCGGGTCGTGCAGCACGCCGCCCTCGTGGCCGAAGAAGCCGCGCGCCGAGGCGCGCGCCCGGCCGCCCTCCGAGCCGTGGGAGGAGCGCCGGCTGGCGGCAGGGAGGCGTGACAGCCGGGTACGGGACCGCCGGCCGGCAGCAGACGCATCGGGGGGCGATACGGTGCCGGTCGGACAGCCGGTCAGACAGAGAAAAAGGATACATGGACTTAGACCAGGGCTAGATGAAGCAGCTCCTTAAAATGAGTTGATCATTGCTCGCTTTACTTTATTATTACTCATTCATTCATTTATACTTCGAACTGCTTTCTGAGTTGCTTGATAAGTGATGGCAAATGGGTTATTACAAGGCGCCCGTAAATCAATATAGCAACGCACAGAACAGTTCGCATAAGTTTGAGGCTGTCATGGGCAACATCCTATACTCGCTGAGAATGGGTCGCGCAGTTGCGCAAACGCCTCTGAAGGGGACAGCCCATCGACACTCATATGCGACGCTGCCCCCACACGTCAGACATCCCACTCGCAGTCTGCTGATGCTTCCACTAGTCAAACCAGTGCAATAGTGCCCAGGAATATTTCAAGACGTAATGAGCTTCCCGCAAAACCTGCTTCACGTCGAGCTGTTAGTGCATCAAAAAGCCCAATCAAATGCATCCGTCGAGCGTTCTAGCATCCAGAGGAAATATCGGATTCCCGTGACGCAGTCAAACAACAGTCCAGCTGTCTGGCT